TCCTTCCCTCCTAAAATAGCTTCATGCTCGAGAAGATGGGAATTGAAGTGCTCTGTGCTATTCTGTTTAGATGTGATGATTGTTTAGATCATGTCAATGCTGTGAATTTAAGAACTGAGAGCTGAATAAACGGCTGTTGTTGGATGGTATCAATTTGTGGCACTTAAACTAGTGGAAGCAACTCGAGCACTTTTGCACAAGCGTCCTTCTGGTTTGGTGGCATCCAAACCTGGATTGCAAGCACGGATTTCCAGAAACGTCATGGCAGAAGACGGCAGTTGAACAGCACATGAGCTGCGCTATATAGGTAGCCCTTCCTGCTATATGAACATATGTAATAAAGTCTGTCTGCTATTATCAGTGGGCTCTATTGGGCTTTTTCTGTAAAACTTTCAAGGTTTCTGTCCTGTGAATGGGTCAGCACACGTGGAAGGGCGGGCTCTGTGCTGCAGCATAACCCCATGTTATTTGTAAACCCCCTGGTGAAGAGTCATCGTTTTCCTTCTGATTCCTGGAAGAAGGATGCTGGGACTGAGAGCACCTTCGGGCCAGTGGTGCTTGAAGAGGTAAGGAGCTTGCTGGTACATCTAAAACGTTGTGTGATCTGTTATTCTCCTCCTGTAAAATGGAACCTGAGGCCATTGAACCTTTTTGCTCTTGTATTCACATCTAGAGTGCAAAAGAAGGGAACATGCCTAGAGAAGATGCCTGTCAATGTGACACTCAAGACAACGAAGTGACTTACTAGCAAACATCTGGAAACTTGGTGAGAAATTGGTTGCTTATTACAGTTTTGTAGGAGTGATGACACAGCTGAAATGCAGTGTATTGAAGTTTTACGTTTTGACAAATAATTGCATTTTTTGTTTCTTTTTCTCTTACAGATAGCGGGATCAGGTGAACAAAGCTGCTTCACTGCTCAGGAAAACCTTGGACTAGAGTAAACCTTTCGTGCTGTTAACATTTGTTGTATCTTGTTGCTAGTGCTTACTTTTTGCAAGGAAATATTTTATTGTCTATTTTTTATTTATATCTCCCTTGAAAATGAAGACCCTGCAGGTTATATTTAGACTGAATTTGAAAATGTTTAGGCAGATCTGATCCAATAAATATTCATTATGGTATCTTTTATCCTCTCTGACTTTGGGAACAGAGTTGGGAAAGGCTGGGGAGTAAAATATGACTCCCCTTGCACATCACCCTTGTGACTGGTACGGAGTTGGTGTGATTTTTAGCTGTTCTGCAGCTTGTCGTGCAGCGTTTAGCACTGAGTAAAGACAGTGTCTACAAGCACTTTGTGTACTGGGGTGCCATGCGAAGCTGCCAGGTGCTGTGGGGACAATGGTCTCTTGCTGGAGCAGCTGCTTTCAGGCTTCTCTTTGTTGGAATCTTTATTGCCAACTCGCCTTTCCCTTTTCTGGCACACACTCCTGAATCAAGGTTCCGTTTTTCTGCCAGAATCCTGCTTCCTCCTTCAGTCTTTCTGAAGCATTTGGATATGATTTAAGTAGTAAATATCTGCGTTTTGAGACTTTTTCTTTGATACAACATGCAGCCAGGGCTATGCTGGAGGCTCTGTGTAATTTTAACCTATGCCTATACGTTAAACTTGTGTGCACTCCTGGTGTTTTACATGTAGGTGCACTCCAGGTGTTTCCATGCAGCTGAAGTTGGCACATTCCTCCCTTGTCTTACCCCCGCCTTTTTTATGTTGTTTATTGACTTTGCTTAGGAGGAACCTTCCTCTGCCCTTGTGTTACTGCTGGGGTAACTGGTGGGGAGACCAAAGAGAAATTCCCCACGCTGTCCTGGCCTCTGTGCCATTGCTGAGCACTTGGCAGTGCGTAATCCCGTTGCATAATTCCATTTTTTTTCCTGGAACGTTAAATGAGGCTTAGTTCAACAGAGCCCTGAATACCTTCTGTTGAGTATTCATCACAACCTCAAATATCTTGCTGGAAATTCCTTCATACTGCAATCCTCCGTGACGAGGAGGGCTCGAAGTGGTGGCCTGGCACAAAAGAATTGGTTTTCTTATCGGTGTTTGCTTTGCAGACGTGGCGTATTGATTGGGTGTGGAGAAGTGAGGCTTTCCCATTGCCAGTGTAATAAATTGACTCGGATAATTGGACAAATCTTGTGCGTCTATTAAAAATCATAAGAAATTCCTGTGATACGATTAGGCAAAGCGAGCTTTGTTTCTGAGAAGGTTTCTCAGCTTGCACTAAGCAAATAGAGGCAGGGGCTCTTCTTGCCCTCCTTTGGATTCCTGTCTCAGCCATGTTAAAAAGGATGTTCTCCTTTTAGCTTAAGTGATTGCTTTCCTACGAGATTCATCTCTAGGAAATTCCCTGTGAGAGAAGCAGTAAACCAGGATCAGAGGCAGTTAATGCTCTCCAACCTGTGGTGCTGTAAGCTTAATTTCTTTTCTGTACGGTAATGACAGAAGCAGCTGCTTTGGTGGCTGTTTGATACAGTGGGGATGAGGAGCTGCCAATGAGTAAAATTACTGCAAACCCAAGCTCTCGAGCTTGCCAAGAACCACTAAGATTTTCAGTCTGTTTACTTCTGCTGTCCTAATCCAGCTTAAACATCTGTGTAATGACTGTGTTCAGCAATATACATTATATATTAGCACAGTTTACTTGTGAGAACAAAAACAACAAGGCACAGAATATTTTTGTAACGGTGTTAGCGTTATGTATTCCCCATCATCTGTGTATAATTGTGTATAAAATGATAGAAGTGCTTAACCCAGTGCAACATCTGTAAGTGCTGAGTAGTGGTAAGGAAGCGATGAGTTTTCATGGCCCCTCTGTTTTTATGTTTTTAGGCAACGCTGCAGCTTTTGGAGATGGGGTAGTTGGGTTCTCATCCCTCTTCTGCTGTGGAAAGCAGGAACGTGAGAGGGCTGCCGTGCAAATGCTTAAGTTCAGATAACGTCATATTACAGTTTTAAGATAACTTTCAGTCTTTTGGTTGAAGAGATTCCCTTATACCCCCTGTTAAGTCCTTTGAAATGTGAGAGATTTGTGTAAGAAATGGGCATGGTGCCTTTGAGACTTCATCACCTGCATCCTAATGACGGCCAGACTAGATGGATTGACTATCTCATGTTCTCCCGTGCTGTTTATAAATACATTTGACATGAAAATGACCTTCAGTTGGGTTTCTCTAACGTGGTATCTAGGAGAAAAGTGACAATTCTGCTGTTTTTATGGCCGGCAGCCTCTCAGATGGACAAATCGAGCAGATTGTGGTATATGTTAATGCTTGCCTAGGCCTACAGGAAACTTCATCTCCCTGGGGACGCTGCTTATTTCGTGGCTGTTGCTCTGAGGGTGCGGGAAAGCGAAGGGCCCTAATCTTTGTGCGGGTTGTAGGGAGATGCTGCAAGGGGAAGATAGGCTTCCACCCTTGGGAGGGGAGAGAAAAGCTGACGCAGCTTCTTTATGGCTGCTTGGCTCTTAATTAATAAAAGAACCTTAATTAATATAAATTGGAGTAATCCTATCATAAAAATTAGTGATTTGATGCTCGGGAGAGAGCTGAAGGAAAAGTCTGTAGGTTATTACAGATAGGGTCTTGGAGGAGGCTTATTGCTCATTCTTCGTACAACATTTCTTGCAGGGTCTCTGTAGCCCGTTGCCGTCGCTGGTGTCCGTGGCTTCTGTGGCCGTTGACACGTTCTTTGTGGTATTCTCTTCTGGAGCCGCGTTGGGTTCCCCTTGGGTGTTGTCAGAACAGTAGAAGCTGCTATAAGAAGGAAAGAAATTGGAGTCATTTCTTACCTGGATGATAGGTTCATTCAGGAAATGCCTGAGAGATTCAAGCCACAGCCTGAACTTTATCAGCAGAAGCAATTTCCATCTCTGGCTATTTCCATTGCCTGGAGTAGTAGTCAACAGACGAGAACTTATTGTAGCCTGTTTAGGAGATGTGTGTGGGACTGAGGGAAGAAATTTCAAATGCACAGGATCACCTTCCAGCTTCTCAGATGACTTACTGGAAAATCAAAGTAGTCTTTTCCTTTAATATGTCCCTGAGGCTTGATGGTTCAGGCCAGGCAGTCACGCATCATTCTGCACAGTGGAGTAGCTTCCAGTTGCAGATAGAGTTTCCAGGGAACTCAGGAGTTAGTGCTGGAGCTTGGTCTTTACAGCAGCTTCTCACTTGGCTAATACTGTGTGAGGTCTCGTGGTGGATTCATCCAGGCTACGCTTGGGGGTTTGGGGTGAGCAGCTCTCCTGTGCCTGAGGTTTAAGGCTCCTGGCTCGCAGCTGCTCGTGCAGGTCATTAATTTGTAAAGATCCTTGTAATAAATGAAGCAATTGTACTTGCGAAGCTCTCAGTGAAGGAAAGGAGTGTGTTTGGTGTTAGGAGCGTTGATTAAATGGTCAGGGAGGTAAAAGCACAAGATTGTTTCTGTCCTTTCTGTTTCCCAGTGAGAAACAGCACGTAAAGGGGCTGAGCTATGAAGTCCACTTTGGTGTGCTCTCTTTTTCAGAGAGCAAACATGAGGGATATCGTTCGGTATGTGGAGTGCTGCCTTTAGCCAACGTGGCTGTAAATATTGTGTGAGTTTCTTTCACGTGGAATTATAGAAGCCTGAAATTTGGCTTCCGTGCTGCTTGCTCCGTTCGTGATCTAACGTAGCGCCTGCGCCGCATCCCCTGCCAGAAGGGATTGTGTTTCTGTAGTGGGCAAAAGAATTCCTGGGCATATTCTCAAGGAGGTTATAAGATCTCTCTGAGGATGGTGGTAACTCCCAAAGTATATGGAAAGTGTTTGAACATGTCGTTTGTGCGAGTGCTTCAAAGGGCCGTTTTGTATCGTACAGTCCCTTGTATTCCATACTGAGTCACATAAGGGTGTGTTTTATTTCTCTTGGTGGGTAGATGTGAGTAGTCTTTTAGCTTGAGAAATTGAAACAATTCCTGATATTAACATGGGCTTTTTTCCTCTCTTTTTTTTTCCCCTTTGTCCCGCTCACCTTCAAGAGCCATACTAAAACGCTGGGGTTGTTGGAGTGGTTGAATTTTTCCTGGATTTGAGTGAGAAATTCAGAAGACTGAAGCCCAGGCTCACTGTCTACCTTTCACGGAGGCCCAGCCGTGAGAGGACAGAAGAAGGCACGTGGCGAATCATGACAGCAGACAAAGAGAAAGACAAAGACAAGGAGAAGGATAGGGACAGGGACCGGGACAAGGAGCGAGACAAGAGAGACAAAGCGAGGGAGAGCGAAAACTCGCGCCCTCGGCGGAGCTGTACCTTGGAAGGCGGCGCCAAGAACTACGCGGAGAGTGACCACAGCGAAGATGAGGACAATGACAACAACAGCGCCACCACGGAGGAGTCCACCAAAAAGAACAAAAAGAAACCGCCCAAGAAGAAGTCCCGATACGAGAGAACGGACAATGGAGAAATAACGTCCTTCATCACGGAAGATGACGTTGTGTACAGGCCTGGAGGTAAGAAATCCCTGTGCTGTTTCCTCTGCAGGTAGCTGTGCACCTGAGCACCTAGCTGTGGCCTAGCTGTTAGCTTAGCTGATGATTTAGATGAGTCATTTTTGATTATTAATTCACACGATGCTTTTCTTGCGGGTGGGTTTCCACACTTCGTTTGAGGACAGAAGTGAATGTGCATGCAAAACGTGGGCTCCGCATTGTTGTTTCTTTGTGTTTGTTGCCATTAACTTAGATTCTCCTTTAAAAAAAGAGCCACCCCTTTTGTTTGCACTGTGTTCATTAACTGTGGAGCGTGGGGGAATAATCTGTGTCCTGGAGACTTTCCACATGAGACTGGGCAAGATGCAGAGCAGCTTGGTTAGTCTAACTGGGCAACTGCTCCTGCTTGGAGCTAGAGCCTGGGCTGGAGAGCGCGGGAAAGGTTCTTCCAGCTTTTCTGGTACGTCCTTTTCTGAATCTGATTTCTTTGTAGGCCTCATCTCCTGTTTTTCTCGAGTGCAAAGATGACTTAAGATCTCGTAGCTGCTATGCCATTAATGTCTTTTCTTCTGTGAATAGCTACCTAACCACTTAATGTCTGTGCACTGCAGTTTAGCTCTTGGTCAAAGCCAGCAGTGTTAATGGAACTGCTCATTAGCAGTGAAGGTGGCAGATAGCTGGGTGTTTTGGGGGCAGAGAAGAGCTGTCTGGGGCAGGCCACTTAATTCTTGGGAGATTTGCTTGAGGTATTTCAAGATCTCATTTAAGATTTCAAGGTCTAACCGGTGGTACTCTGCCTGCCCACTTATTTCCTCAAAATGAAGTAATATTTGGGAATCGCAGGGATTATTCCACTGCCTGTGTTCCTCATGGAATAAGAACTTTTATGTTCATTTACACAGTGTTTAGAAGGGGCTATTGCAATTGTTTGTTGCACCACAAGATAGAGTTTCCCTTGGCTTTAGTTTTCCAAGTGCGGGCTTAGGGGCCCTGGTATTTTTATATGGCATTTTCTGTGAAATGATCAGTGTGCTATAGAAACACTGCTGGAGCAAAACAAAGATGCATCCAAATAAAAACCATGGGAACTAGCAGTGGAAAAACTTGTCTTGTTTCCTATGAAGAGTTGCATTTTTTAAGCACTAAAATTTCATTGTACAGATGCAGATGTAAAAGAGCTAAATGGAGATGTTGCCACCTCCAGGTGCTGCAGCTGGAAATGCTTAAAACTGCTTGTTGTGTGTGTCTATGTGGGCACCATTGGCTCCAGATTCAGCTTGGTGCTATAGCTCTAGATTGGGCTAAAATAACACTGATTTTGGAGGTATGATTCTCCAGCGTTTCTGTGCAGAAGTTGTAGAATATTCTTTTTGTTTAGATCCATCTAAACACCTATCTATCGTGTTAGAAAGGGCACAGTGTAATTTCAAGCCCTCGACATTGCGCACCGCTCCAGAGAGCCGCTTTGCTGGTGCCCAGACTTGCAGCGAGTTCCCGCGGCTCGAGCAGCGGCGGGAAGCGGCCCACGGAGGCTCAGCCCTGGGCCAGCCCCATTTGCAGCGTCAGAGGATGGAAAACACACGGGCCTGTTGAGAACAGCTGCTGCGTGGGCCCCGTGGTACACGGTGATGCTCCCGCACGCGGCGCCAAGAGACTTGGCTTCGCATCAGGGTGGAGAAGGATTTCTGGGCGCTTGGTGGCTTCTGTAATAGATGGAGGAGCCGCCCTCTGTGTCGGCCTGCGGCGCGTGGAGGAGCGCTCGAGGGCTTGAGCGTGTTGCGGAGCGGCAGAAGCTGCTGCTGTGTTTGTTACGTTGCCCTTTGGTCAAGCGAGGAACTTCTCGTAACCAAAAAAGCAGCTTTGTGGTTACCCGTGTGCTCAGTGCTGAGGGAAAAGCAGCTGCTCCTGAGCTGAGCCAGTCCTCGCTGCATGGGGCTAAATCCGGTGAGATTTAGTGCTCTGCAACCTAGAGCAGGGCGGTTCTTACTTCTGACTGCCATATCCCCCCCAAAATCATTATCTTGGCAAAAGATTCTTAATGGGAATGAAGCCTTAGATTGGCATTGTAGTGCGTAGTGTATTCCAAAGGTTTTCTAGCATCTATTGCAAAAAAAATTTACTTTAACAGCTAGGTTCTATGTAGGGAGATGTAGCTGTAGGGTAGCGTATACATTACGTAAAGTATAAGAGGGATTAGGAGAGTTTAAATTAATGAAACTTGCACAGCAAGGATTTGGAGAGATGAAAGCTAAAAGTGTGTGCAAAATGGATAGCTGTCTTCAGCGGACATCTTTCAGGCTTCAAGGAGAGGAAATCCTTTTCATTTGTTTGATTCTGTCCCTTAAAGATTTTTGCCTGATAAAATACAGATTTGGACAATTATCTGGACAAACATTAAAAGTCCATAGGTCTCCATCTATATAAAAACCTCAGCCCAAATCTGTCTGTCACATTACTGTTCAGCACTTAGTCCAGTACTTGATCTTCTTTGTGCTAAGCTCACTAACTACATGTGAGTAATGGTGAGTAAATCAATAATGAAGATCCTTGGAATTTTTTTCAGAATAAAGGCTCCAGCTTGCTGTAACTGTGTACATATTGCTTTTAATTTACATGGATATAATGAACATATCCATAGTTTCAAGCACAAAATTCTATTCCGATTTGCTTATAGTCATCTTCATGGTGGTTTATTTACTGTATGAGGCTTCATCAAGACTATTTTCCTCCCTTTTCTATTCTGTTAATTATTTTAACTTCCATTTCCAGTGCAGATGGAAATCCCTTCTATCCTGCAGGTTTCTGCAGAGCACAGCATGGTTTTCATAGACTCGACCTCATCTGGTTTGTGCCCATACACACCCTGGTTATCGCATGACTCCTCATTATGGGGATGTTTACTCAGGCTCTCCAGTTGTGTTTTTATTTTGTAGGGTCTTTTTTTACCCTCCTGTTATTTGTTTGGCAGACCGTAAGTAAAGCAAAGAGCTCTGTTCTGTCTTAAAATGACGTGTGTTTTTTGGGGTAGATAGTTGGATTTTCAGTGCAGGAGAACTCGATGTGCATGAGGCGGCTGTCGGCCCTTGTGCTGCTGTCGTGACCCAGGCTCTTCCAGGAACTCTGATGCTCCCAAGGCTCCGGAGCACTGCGGTGCCCGTGCTCTTGAGGGATCATTGACAGATTAACTTTTCTGGCTGGGAAAAGGAGCTGTGTGATGGAAAACAAATTGCACTGTCTGTAACTTGCATTGGATTGTCCCAGAGCTGGCAGAAGGAGACAGGGATCGTGTTATTCCTGAAAACCTCTCGCCTCTCTGTTCTAGCTTAAAACCTGACAAGAGGCCAAGGTGCAGAGATGTTTTTCCTGTTTATCTTCACCTGGTCCTTCAACATGGGAATTTTCAGTGTCCAACATACTGATTTCATGCAATTTATGAAGTTACACCTTTTATGAAGAAAAGGAGTTAAAAGTCTTGAAAATTTACCTAGCAGGAATGCGTGCAGCAAAGCAGCAGGTGATTCCAGGGATGCTTTTGTTGCCCCCTTCCTTCTTGCTCCCCAAATTCTGGTGTTCCTTTAATGTAGGAAGAAGCTGCATGATCCCTGCCTTCCCCCAGCCTCTACGGCAGGCCAGGAAGGAGGGTTATAAAAGCCCAGAGCTTAATATTGTTGCTGCTGAGGGGCCTGTAATAGCTCAGCGATGACCCTGGCAGTGCTGGCCTGGAACAGCACGGTTGGATGAAAGTCTAAGTTGATTTGGAGCCTGAGGAAAACGGATGACTTGATATGTCATCTGGAAACGAGGCCAGTGTTGTTTGCTCTGTCTATGTAGAAACATTTAAAAGGATCCGTGGGGATTAGAAGGATTTAGGAGGATCTGTTTCTACAGTGACATCAGTAGATGCATGAACAGCAAATCAGCAAGAGGCATTAGCAGGAGGCAGCAGAAGGCGAAGCGCTCCGGCCGCGCGATCCGGCTTTCCCCGAAGCATGGGGCACGTTGTGGGAGCTGCCGTGCTCAACTTTGAGAATTGTCGGGTTCTGTTTTAACTTTTTTCCCCCTAGTTGGTGTGTTTTTTTGAAAGTTTTTGCTAAGCACTGCCCCTTCCCCTCAATTTAATATAAGACCAAAAGTGACCTTGAAGCTAAGGACGCTCAAGTATTTCCTTTTGCCTGCCTTTGGATGGTGCTTGCTTTATAATAATCCTCTTGAATATCATTTTATATTTGAAAATGCACTGCGGAGGTGATTCTGCAAGGCCCTAGGCCTGCGCTGTTGTTTCATACCCCCTAAGAGGGAGGAGTTTCGTTCCAACAATAAATGTTTAAGGAAAGAGGATGCAATAGTCGGCTACTTTTATATATACATACGCTGCTTTTATGTATACAAACTATCTGAATGTTTAGTGCTGCTGCTTTGCGTTGCTGGAAGAGCTGAGCTCGAGCAGGGAAAACGAGGATTGTACGTCATCTCTCGGCATTTTGAGGTGTTTCAGGCCATCACTGTTGGGGATAGCCCTGGGGTTATGTTGCTTTGGAAAGGTGTGGAAAGTACTGTCACGGGAATGAAACAGATATTGCTGCCAGAAAGTGCGGCCGGGGTTAGGTACCGGCTGCGGCGGCGGGTGGCACTTTACAGCCTTCCTATTCCTGCCTCCTCCGAGCCGCTGAGGAGGAAGCGTGATCCCGGTGGCTGTTATCCGGACGGGAATGAGGGCCTGGCAGAGCCTGGAGCTGTGGGGGGATGCGAGGCCTCTTCCCCGCTCTGGATCCGGGCATGTTCCGTGGCTCTGCAGCACGGGGCTGTGCTCCAAAGGGAGCCGCTCTGTAGGGAGCCCCCTCGTCTGCTGTGGGGCCGCTTGCTTGGGGCGAAGGCTGCAGGCTGGGGGTTGTTGCCCTGTTAAAGGGGAACGTGGAAGGAGGAGGCTGCTCGGGGACCTGCGTGGTGGGACTGGGCCGGGAACCAGAGCCCTGCGAGTCCCTTGGCCTGGGGGCTCCCGTGGCCGCCTCAAAATCCACAGCCCTCCTGTTCAGCAAGCGGGCATCAAGACTTCCAAATCCCCTTTCTTACTATTAACATTCTTGAATTCCTGTTCTTCTAAATTTCTTCTAAATTTCTAAAACTTCTAAAATTCTTTTAGAAGTTCTGTAGTTTTCTATTAGCTGCCCCAAATAATAATTAAACATTCCCATTATCCTGACTGTGCTGAGATGCTTTGTGTTGTTATAACAGAGGAAATTGCTGCGAAGTTACTCGAATCCGGAATTCTCCATCCCTTCTATAAAAAGCTCCTGTAACAAAGTAAGCAGAGGAAGCAGTTGTGTTCAGTGGTATTTGGCTTGGAGAATGGTAATGAAATAGAAATGCAGGGATTTGGCTCCCTCCCTGACAGTCAGGGACTTGTTTTGATGTTGACCTGTGGGTTTGTCCTTCTTCCAGACAGTGCCCTATTTATTCTGACAGCTTCAGCAGCTGAGAAAGGTGGACGTGCCAGAATTAAATCATGAAAGTAAACAGAGTATAAACAGGGGGGTTCTGTAGGACTTGTAGCACAGACAGGGGTGTGAATGCTTGTTTTTAAGGCTATTGAAATTTCCCCAAAGCCTATTATATATAAAAAGTTGTGCCCTTGGAATCTGTGGAATTTGCTTTTATATATGGACTGAAGGAAGTAGTGTAAGGGGATTATTTGTTTGATACACGTCTTAATTTTGGGAGCTCTCTGGATGGACTGTTCATGTAATGATATGAGATCAGGAAATAACCAGATGTTCAGGGTCAGCCTTTTGGGGGCTGCAGATGGGAATACCCCAGAACTGCTGCCCTGGGTGGAAATTTCCAGCATTTCTCACCTTGGCACCGCTGGGTTTTCAGCCTTTCCGCATAGGAGAGCGGTGACGAGGAAAGGCTCATTGCAGTCACCTTTAAAGGAAGAGATAACCTTAAAGACTATGCCAGTGGAAAGAAAAATGCATTCTTTATGTATCATTCTTTTAATAATTAAGGAGTAGAAATAGAGAGAAGGCCTGGATTAATATATGAGCTTTAATCCGCGTCAGGAAGGTCAACGGGCAGCGCGCGGGAGTGTCCCAGGAGGTCTCTCCTTGAAGCTGATGGAAATCTGGGATGTTTCCAAACGCAGTTAAAACAGATATTGCTGGTGCTCATTGCTACGGGATCCTTTTTCTTTGTAGCATCAGCTTTAAATTGTGTTTATTCTTGATGTTGGAGATTTCACGAGGTGCCTCTTTAAGAGAAGAGGTGACTAAATGGGTAATATTTCGGGGATAAAATAATGAATTGAGAGCGTGTACCGTGTTGCTGCCCAGATCCTTAGAGGTTCATCTTGTGAATGGATTCCCCAGCTTAGGCTTGGCTTTTGTGTTTAAATTCTGAAGAACAAGGGTAAGGAGATGAGTGCAAAGAGAGGACCTGGTGTCTGGGGCTGTGGACATTGGTTACATGAGAAATGAAGAGTATATTGTAAAGCCATGGTGTTTTTGAGCTGTTCCAGGGTGAATACAGAACCTGAACGTGACACATTATCAATGTGTTCATTTTTTTCCCCTTGGTGACTACGGCAGCTGTAATTGGAAATTTGTGGTTTAATTACCCCAAGTAATTGAGGAACACAGATACGCCTGGTTTTACAGACTCACTTTAGCAGCGGATGAACGTGAGAGATGGCAACTCGTCCGTAGGATAAGAGTTGGTGGGGAAGGCAGCAGGCTGGTGTGAAACCAGGCATGTGGAATATCTGCTTGCCGTAAAAATACAGTGGGATGCAAGATCCTTAGCTAGAATTTGGGAAATATCAGTGGTGACCGTTTTAAACGCTGCCTCTCTCTTCAAATGTGTGCAGAATCCTTGGAAATTACTCAGGACTGTTTTTAAGCGGCGCACATACATAGACCTGATCCGTGGCTGAAGGAGAAGGTCCCAAGCCAATGACCTCGGAAATTAGCCCATTTCAGCAGACTGCCCTCTTGCTTCCTTCCCCCCTTCCTTCCTTTTCATGTTTTTAGTTAAAGAAAATCACTTCTAAGGCAGGATGCGTTAGCGGCCGAGTAGCTACAACTTCGTTGCTTAAGTTGTGGTGTTTTTTGGTGGTGTGCCACTTGTAAGAAAACTGCATTTTTAAATCAAAATTGTAAGCATTGTGTGTATATGTATAATATATATGAGCATATATCTTACATGAGGAGCTGTACAAAGTGCTGTAATCCAACGCAGAGAAGTAATTGGTGTGGGAAATCATGTAGCTTGGTGCCCAAATGGCAGAGCAGCTTCTTTTATAAAACTAGGATCTGCAGAGTACAATTAACTGTCATTAATTTTGTTGAATAGAAATATGTTCCATTTACTGTACAAGCAGAAGCCAGGCTTCGGTGAGTTTAAATAGCTGAAATCTAAATTATACAGGCAGTCCATTAAACAGCAGCAGAAACCTTGAAAGAAAATGGATTCACTCTGATACTGCTTCATAATAAAATCATTTGGCAAATCAGACCCGCGGCCGAGAATATTCCTGCGTGCTCCAGATGAGCCCAGGCAATTGGCTGAACTATTTATTGCAAGGCTGGGACCCTGGGGTTCCTGCAGAGGAGCCGGCAGTGCCGCTTGGAATGGGCTCAGCGGGAAGGGCCGCTCAAAGCTCGGGCTGGCCGTGGGTTTGGTGGGCGCCCTGTATAGGTCCCTGCTGCCCGGGACGGGGCTTTGCTGCTCAAAGCCCCTTTTCTGGCACCCCCCAGGCATTTCACCTCGTGTTTCGTGCTCATTACTAACCCCTGTGCCCATCGAGTGGAGCTGGAGGCCTGCTGGGGTTTGCCGAAGCCTTGAAAGTAGGGGCTATTAATGTAATTTCCCATTTCTTCGTATGCGTGTGTGAAAAAGAAATGCGTGAAGGTCTTGGTCCTCAGAAGAACTGAGGGCACTTGGATGTGTTAACAGCTACACGCCTGGGTGGTGCAGGTGCTGACTTGTTAACTAAAACCCAAACGAACCTCAGCTCTGAAGGAGCTTCCCACAAGCAGTGCCCTTTTAACAGGCTAAAGGTTCATGTGTTGGAAAGGCGACGTGCGCTTTTTTTCCTACCAAAATGTCTTGAAGCTTTTTGCTTGAGCTCTCATTTTTTAAAATTAGAGCTAGGTAATTAGGCAACGTGTTGTTACCTAATATCATTATGTTACATAACACGATGTGGGGAGCTGCGATGCCACGGAAGTGTAGAGTCAATGGGAGAAAGAATACAGCGGTGCCTTGCTGTGCATTAACACGGGCAGAAGGGATTTGATGGAGCCAGCTCATTTCTGTGTTTTTCACGGGCCACAGGCCTCATAGGCACAGATTTGTAGTGTTAGGAAATTCTTATGTGGCTCGGGGTCCACACGGGAGCTGTTCTTTAAATTGGCATATTTGTATTTTGCATCCCTGGTAAAAGAAAGTAATTGTTTTTATGGTGAGTTTTAAATAGCTGATGCGGATGCATCTGTAACTGCTCTCCTTTGGGTGTTTTTCCAATTTCTATCATAAGTGGCTTTGCTTTGCACCTGGATTAACTTGTTTTCGTATTTTTTTTTTTTTTTTTATTTCTCTGTTGCTTTGGAGCCATCCTAACTGGATGGTGTCCTGGTTGTAAACGTGGCTGGCAGCCCGTTGCTTGCAGCGCTGCCATCGTGGTGTTGGCTGTAGCATCATCCTGGCCGCATCCATAGCAGTTGCCAGGTCCTGTTGTTGTTCTATTTGAAATGCATTTTATCAGGATAAATGATGGCAGTGCATTCCCTGTGTTCTTTATGGAGCATAAGAAGCGCTTGCCTTTTGGAACAGCATGCAAGTTTGGGGAGCATCATGCAGAAAAGTAGCGGTGTTTTGCAATGCATAGGGTTTTATAAGACCTTTTCCATAGGAGGATTGGCGCTAATGGACCATCATTCATGGAACAGCTGAAGTTTTTAGGCTTTGTCTTCTGAATAGCTGTTATCTATGCGGATATAAAAAAAAGCAGAACACAATAACACTCCATTAAATATTTGCTTGCGTTTGGGAGCAGCATCTCTGCCTTCTAGCAAGCCGTGTGTGCACTTTTTGATTTCTGAGGTCATTATTGTTAATCAGGCTCTCCTTCCCCATTCATCCTGCACATTTTATTGAGGCACCACTTCTGCTGCAATTATTGCCAAGACCCTTCTTGAGACCTTATTTTACAGCAACCTTGTAGAGTCCACTTGTCACAACCAACCAAAAGTAATTACGTGTCTTCTGTCATGTCAAATGTAATTTGAGAAAGCGCAGTTTTTCCCCAAGGCAAAGCTGATCCAGTTTGCTGCATTCCATCTCTGATTGGTTACCTTGGTTTTCTTTACAATTAGAAGAGAAAATGTGTTGTGTTGGGCTCTTAATAGCAAGTTAACCACAGGAGATTTGATTAGTTTCTTGCCTTACTTTGGTCTGGTTCATAGGTTGTGACTTGGTCATTTTATTAACTCAATTAAGAAGAGTTTTGTATGAGTTTCTTTGTTTTTTCTAGCAAAATATCTGTGGAATCAAAGTTGATTTTTATGAAGCCAATTTGCTTATTTATCATCATAAAGCATCTAGTTTCTATTTTTAGATCATACGTGGAATAAATTACACATGCTATGCAAATGAACATGGTGGCTCTTTCTAAGCTTAGGCTGGTTTTTTTTTTCTTTTGTTTTGCTTTTTTTATGCTCTTACTTTGCAGAACAGAAGTTAATTTCCATTATTTTAAAATCTTGTTTTTTAAAGATTGCGTATATATTGAAAGTCGCCGGCCGAATACCCCATATTTCATCTGCAGCATTCAAGACTTCAAACTGGTAAGGACAATTTTCACGTCTTCCCCCTTCTCCTTTCCCCCCTGAGGTGGTCGTGTTTCTTCCTCTAGCTCCTTCCTAGTGAACTTTGCCTGTTGCAGTAGCAGCGGTTTTGCTGTTGAGGCCAGGGGTCTGTCCTAGTAGAGATGGAGTTTGTTGATGAACTGAGCCGTAAAGCTGGCGGTTGTCATCTTGGTAAGACTTTGTAATCCGCACAAATAGCGATTTTGCGTGTTTTAGGGGAAATAGTGGCACAGGAGGTCACCAGGTTCTCCACAAAAGCAGGATATTGGAAAAAAACGAACTCTTTTACTACAGATCTTTCTGCTGTTGGTGTTTCACTGGAGGTCTGGCCTTATTAATACATAGGCTGACAGTGTAGATCACCCCCAAACTGTTGCCATCAAAATACATCTTTCTTCTGGCTTTCTCACTCCAGTCTTCCCCATGCTGTGAGGGGCAACACGCTGCTTGATGCGGTCAGTGTTAACTTCTCTTCAATGCCGGTGTCCCTGCTAGTTCTCTATCTATGGTTTCATACTTTTGCAGGTAATTTTTCTCAGGTATCTTTGTATTCTCAGGACTCTTGGTAGCTCTCGCTTCTTGAGCAACTTCTTAGTGTTCCCGTATTTGCTGCCTTGAATAGTAACCATCCGCTATGGATAAGAATTTTTCTTTGTTTTTAATGGAGTTGCTGGGTTTTTAGCTTAGCACATTCTAATAATGCATTAAGGCTCATTTGTTCGTACCTTGCACGTGAGCAGGTGCTTTTGTATTTGATGGGAATCTCTCATGAAATACTGAATTACAATGTGGTAGTTGCCATTCCGGGCAGAAGCTCCTGCTGAGGCACATTAATTGCTCAGGATATTAACAGCAATAAAAACTGAAGCTTCTGTTGTAGATATTAGTCTAGTCCACCACATTAAAGCTGTCTGCAGAGCTACGTGGGACGTGTAGCGCAGTGTTTTGATAGCTTTCCTTTGGAATTTTGAGACGGATTTTCTTTAGATGGCAGATACACCTGTGGTTCGTGGTCAGAGGTGATAAGCTCACAGTTGAGGAACCAGGTGATGTGTTAATGTTGAGAACAGTGATGGAGTTAGAAACCACGTGGGTGTGATGCCGTGCGACCTGCTGTGGACCTCCAAGGTGTCTTCCAGCCTTGGTCACTGGTGTTACTGGATGCCCATGGGCTCTGCATGTTTCCATAAGTGCAAGGAAAGGCCGGAGCCTCTAGCAGAGAGCGGGCAAGGGAGCAAGAGGAAGCTCTTGGCCTGGGCACTGGTGTCGCGGCCTCCTTTCCCGTACGGATGGCCAAGTGCACACGTGTGGAAGGGGGAAGTTCAATCTGTAGGAAGCCAAGATGATTCACAGCAACACGTGTTTTTTGTTTTTGTTTTTTTTCTTCACCAATTAGTCACCAATAACTAATGTTATTAAGAAAGGTAATTATTGGGAGCTTCTTCCTTGAAAGCTATCTGAACTTGCCTTGGCTTTCGCAAGGTGCCCCCTTTTTGTTTGTTTAGGACCGATGTCTCTAACACATGTTTATTGCTTCCCAACCCAGGCCTGCTCCGCCTGGGGTTCGGATTTATCTCCTCCTTTCTACAGAAAGACACTTGACTCAATAGCTCCTGCTCCTGCAAAGACTTAATTCCTTTCTGATATTATTTTTTAGTATTTTTAATATTTATCTTTTTTAGCAGTATTATTTTTAGGATTCGGTGAAATTCAGTGCATATTTTAAGATCTGTGGAAGAGTTGGAAGGCAAGAGTGGAATTCACAGGTTTTGACAAACTTTGTCTTAGCATTTATTCTGTGACAGACTCTGAAGAATTGATGGCCAGAATCAGGAAGCACAGTGATATGTATTTATAAACATATATTTAACTGGAGATTTAAACGTAAGCGTAGTATGGGAGAGGACTGCTCGCCATCCCAGCTGTGATTGGAACAGGCTCTAGAGGAGGCCCAGAAATCCAGCCCAGCAACGGAGCTGCCAGAGGGAGATGCTGCAGGCTGCCAGGAACTATCATTATTTTACCTTCTTGCTATTGGAGATGCCTGCTTGTGCCTCTGCAGCCAGGCTTACCTGAGCCATCTGCAGCCAGGCTTACCTGAGCCAGAAATGAAGAGCCCCGGGTGCTGCGCGTACGGTTTAGTGTGTGCAGACTTAGCTAGTGAAATGAGATTACCAAGCATTAGTGCTCGGAAGAAAAGAGAACAGAACGCAGAGCTGAATGATTTTTAATTTCCCTCCCAAACATTAGAGAAGTGTGTTCAAAGGGTAGCTAGTTGCAGAGCAGGACTGTGTGTTTACAGGTACAGTGCATCAAAACTACTGAATTTACTGAAGCAAAAGCGGTTCCAGGCCAACTCTGAAGTTGAAACCTCCTCTGAAATAGGAGAAAAAGCCACATCCAAACTGAGAGAGAAAGAGAAAACTGTCAGCCAAGAGGTCTGCCTGCTGTTTTTTCTGCAGTAATGAATGGAAGTGAAGTAAGAAGTTAAACAAAAATAAGGATCAAAGGGGCCTTGCTGAAAGCCAAAAGAAACAAATAACTGCTGCTGCTAACGAGATTTCTGACCAGAGCACAAGTTAATGTATTAAAAAAAAAAAAAAGCAAATCTGCCCTTTAATTTTGCCATTTATACCTTTTTCTAGAATTTCTGCTGTTTGATAAATGAGCCCAAATGTCCTCCTTAAGGCTTCCCTTTTCCCTCTTAAAAAAACAAGTGAGGGGGAACCCAACCAGCAAATGGATTTTAGCAGCATGCTTCTGATTTATCCTCTTTTGATTTAATTTTGTGTCCCATTTAAAATGCTAATGGGCTACACTTTGAATCGGGAGCATCAGAGAGGAACTCGCCTCGCTTTTAGAACAGGGGAAGCGGCGGCTTTTGCCGTATAAAAGACAACATTATTAGTTGTGATGCAGTTGCCCTTTGTGCTGTGTGTTTACTTGATTGACGCGTCTCCAGTGCGAGGCTTTCTCCTTGAAGCCTGATTTGAATGGAGTTTACAGCTTGATTGCCCCAGGGCCTTGTAACAATTTATAGGCTGGATGGAAAGGCAGGAGTGCATAAAAAGACAGTTGTGAAATGCTGCTTGTGCCCTGTAATAGGAAATCTGTGTATGATGACCTTGGCCATAGGGGCCCGGGGGATCCTTTTACCATCATCCAAAGGGTTATAAAATGCAAAGTACTGCATCGTACCTGGATAAAGAGGAGAAATTAAAATAAATAGTTTTTTTTTTTTCCTGAACTGTGCAGTGTGATGCATAGGAGTGCAGGCAGTGGGGGGAAGGCAGTGTGCTCGCCTCCTTCCTACCTCTGGTCTTGCATTTTAGAAGGTGCTTCAGAATTAAGGTCTGTTGCTCAGTGCACTTTTATAGGAGATGATGCTTCTGAATGCAGATATCCAGGTGGAGTTTCTGTAGCCACAAGCATGTATGGATTTAAAAGCCTTGTTCTGTTTGTAGCTGAATTGATGTTCTGTTCCTGAACCGCAGCTGAATTCATTTGTGGCTCATTTTTCCTGGCCAGTTAGGAGGCTACTTGACCTTTCCATTTTGGCGTGGAAAAAAATGCTGATTAATATAGATTCTGGCTTCCCCGCATTCATCACCACCTTTATAGCCCCCCAAAAAAGACTGAATGATTTTCTTTCTACTCAGAGCCTTTCTAGAGCCTCTGTCCATGTCTGTCCTACCTGCAGCATGGGTAAGGCTGCTGCTCAGACTGTGCAGACCTGCTGATAGATAGAGACGGATGAGACATTTGAGAGAGCGTTGGATTATTTAAAACAAAAAATTTAGCCAGCAAACGAGATTGGCTGTTACCTCTAATGTGGAGCAGCTTGAAATGGAGCTGCTGTGATTACAGTGGGGCACGTGCGGGGAGGGAGATTAATATTAAAATGTTGGATATAGGGGGGGTTGGAGGAAGGAGCAAGGAATGATGAGGAATCGGAGGTGACAGTTTAAGGATTGCATGGCAGGAGCTGCACAGTGATTAAATTCACTGATGCTGTCATTGAGCTGTAAGGCTGGAGATAACATTCTCTCCTGCGCTGAAAACAAGGATCAATACAAACTCCTTGACAGGGGCTAAATTATTAAATAGAGCCTTTCTTACAATGTTTCATTATCTGGGATTTACCTCAGCTGGTGATTTGTCAGCAGCACGGGGAGATTTGCTGGGCATTTTGTATTAAAGTCATTCCAGATGCATATGAATCCATTTTGATAATTCCTTTCCTTTTTGCACTCTTCTCTGTAGATTTGTGATTAACTCCTGTCCAGATGGCACTGCAGATTCACATGGCTGTTAGGCTGTGGTGCACGGGCAGGTAGGGCTAGGTCTTAATCACACACACAAGTGCGCACATGTGTGTACACACATCCATATATCTATATCTATATCTATCTATATATATATCTATATATAAAATCTTTCCTTAGTAAAGGGTTGCTCTTATAAAGAGCTAAATTGATTTGTTTGTCTTCCACGTATTAAATTATCAAGACGTTTGGAGTGTCTTTCAGCTGAGAATGGGGAAATAGAGAAGGGAATTTGACTGCTCTCCGCGTGTGTAACTAGTGCCTAATGTTGCTGTTGGATTTTGAACTTAAGGGGTAAATAGTGCAATATTCTTTTTATTTCATTGTATGCCATATGAAGGCAGGGCAGAAACCAATTTTCAAGTGGATAAACCAACATATCTTGCACTGCAAGAGCACACGGGGTTATGTGAACACATTACAGCCAGACCTGGCTGCTGTTGGCAGATATCTGTAATTTCATCAGTGGGATCATTTTGTCAAGTATAAAGAGTGCTTAGGATTCCTGTGGGTTTTGTTTTTGTTTTTTTTTTTTAAATTTTCTTTTCCTGAGTAGCTTTAATAGTGTCACACACTAATACAACTAAACAAATTTATTCAGAGCTAGGATGTCGTGTGTCATCATCGCACCATCTTTGGAAGGAAGAGAGCAGT